CCGGCTTCTCTCTTCCTTCTTCCCATTAATCTGAAGACTGCACACTTCGTTTTACTGGCACGGCTTTACTCGTCAGACCCAGGGGGGAGGGATGACGAGGTGGTCCATGGAGAACGACGACAACAAGTGTTAGTACTAAGAAGAATGGGAGGAAGGAGAGGACTGGAAAAGACAGGAAAAAGAAATGAGGCAAGTAGTTGGGTTAGTGGAAACCAGTAGAAGGGAGGAGCGTAGGAGACGAGGGTGTGGGGTGACCCTAGCGGGTAAGAAAAAGGGTCAATAGTACTCAATACGCTTCTTTTTTTCTTCCGATGGTGGGGCTGTTCTGTGAGAGGTACCCAAATCCGGTGTTCTTTTTTTTTTTTTCGATTTATGTCGGTTCTGGAGAGAGGGGGGAGGGTCGAAGGGCTCCTTCCAAGGGTATGAAAAAAAAAATCATATTATTTTTTAGTTTTATGTACAATTCCGTGAGGAATTTGGAAGTGACCCCTCAGCCTGTTGTCCTGCATAACATATTTCTTTTACAAGCTTTTTTTTTTTTTTTTTTTTTTTTTGCTAGATATGACCCAGGACCCCAGCCGGTCGTCCCGGGCAGGTCCCGTGCCAGCCTTGGGTACCCATGCGGCACGGCTGGTAGCCCAGTTGAAAAGTAAATAAACTCTCGAAAACACTCACTCACACCCAAAACTGCCTACCAGCCCTCAGCGAGGCCAAATGAAGGCCGCAGCCTTGGAGCTGTGCAAAAGTATGGTGCGTGTGGTCCAGGGTCGCGAACTAGTTCCATAAACCAGGCCATGAGGGGCTGTGTGGGAGCTGTGCATGCCACATATTTCCTTCACAGCGAAGTTCACGGTGCAAAGGCACCAGCGAAGCACCAAATAGAAATTCACAAGAGGAATCCTCTGTTTTTATTTATGGTTTCTTCTAGCATTCCACAACAGTGGACTGTGATGGACCATTCAGGCTGATACGCGGGAAGGTTAGGCCTGCTAAGGGAAGTACTGCTGAGAAGCAGAAGGGACAGGGGTAGAGTGGTTCATATGTCCTTCTGGAAAAGGAAGCAATCAATGCCGCAGTCTCAGGGTCCCTCGGCCATAACTAAGCAAAGTGACGAGTGTGTCTTCATTGTAAGATAGTGGAGACAATCACTTTGCCTGGTGGCATTCAAAAGACAGGGACAGACCTGGCAGTTAATCCTTCTATAAGAAGCGTCGGGATGGCCTAGACGTTGAACAGGGGTGGAGCAGTGGTAAATCCTCCCCTTTTGGGGAAGCAATCAATGCCGCTGACTCAGGACCTCCCGACCATAATGGGGAGAAGCGTCGTGTCTGCACCCCTCATGGAAGGGACGCTGGACCCAGTTTCCAGTTTTATTTAATGAAAGTTTTCCTGCAGATGGTCGGCATTCCCAGATTTAGTTAAAGTGGTAGTTTCGCAAGGACAATCCCATCCTGTACATAGATTGTCTTGCTGTTTTGTCCTTTTGAATACACTCTTCGAGCATTGATTCACCAATTCCGTTGTGAAGCCAAGCAAATGTTGAAGGACGCTGGGGCTCATTGTTAGATGGCTGCTGGGCTCTTGTTTGGGGCACCCAAAAAAAGAAAGGAAAAAAAAGGAGGAAGAATTGGTCTCTTAGACCAGTATGGGCTTCCAGAACCATCCCCACTCCCCCTCGCAACTCACTAGTAGGGCTGCCATGGCACGGATTGCAATTTGGTTTCATCCATGCTATTTGCCTTTAAGCTCTTAGACAACCTAGATTCAATGCAGTACACTGCGGAATACCAGCGTTCTAGAACTAACCTTAAGATTGGCTCATCAGGCACTCCCCCCAGGGGATAAAAGAGGTCCGGTTCTTAACCATGACCTGTCTGAACTACATATGTTTAAGATGCTGGCCCGATCGCCGGCAGGTGAAACTCCCTGCCAGTAGATGGGAACTCAGCAACTATGCAAACGACCTAAAGCTCAACAATCCCCCTCAATCTGTAGGCTGGTAAAGCATACCTGACTTTGCTCCTTTAAAAAACAAAAAAGTGGATAGCTGGATGATGCATCGATGTGTAATGAACCCAGTCTGGAAGATACTCGTCAAGTGTCGGAGTACAGGATAACTCAGTGCTGAACAGTGTCTCCAATAATCCAGAAATGTGATCCATGATACAATGTCTCGTGGTCATTGATGGATACTTACTTTTCCACCCTCAGTGCTGAATAGACGATTTAGAGCGTGGAAAAGTAAGTATCCATCAATGACCACAGAGATAGTAGCCCCACATTTCCCTCTCCTTCTCCGGGCTTCCCCTCGCCTCCACGTCAGCAAACAGTGTCCAAGAACGAGTCTGACAGGGCCGGATCACATCAGAGTGCCACGTGGCACAGTTCTCCCATGAAGACGTTCAGCAGCGCACAGTATCGACATCAGCAACAGGTAAGTATCATCTCTCTCAATCAATCCACAGATCCCGATCTCCCTCCTTGTCGCATCCAACTCAGCAATGAAGACAGTGTGGTGGATGCCACATCAGCAGTGGAGACTGGGTGGCATGTGCCACATCAGCAATGTCAAAGACAGTGTGGCACGTGCCACGTCAGCAAGTGGACAGCTGGCGCCAGAGCAAGAAGGCGCCAGCACACATGCAGCAGTCTCGCGTCGTCGTCCACAGTGCCAGCGTACAGCCAGCGTCAAGCCAGCGTCAAGTCAGCATAGCAAGACTGAATGTTGACCCCTGGAGGCAGGGCCTTATGTAGCATTTGACGAGGTTGACCTGCCTCAGGTCTCCCACCCACGGTGGCTCAGATTGACTCGCAGCCGACGGCCTGGATCTCATACAGTTGCAACTTCCACTTGATCCAAATGCTGTCTTGATACCTGCATACAAACAAGCGTGTGTGTCTGACCGGCGGCCTGGGCTGGGTCCATGCAGACTTTGACTCGTGGGCCGCTGGGCAGTTGACTAAAGTCAACTGTCAGGCGCTGAGGCCCTGAAGCCAATTTCGGAGGGGTTGTTCCCCTCCATCGTCGCGACCTTAGGCCGGGGTCACGGCCTGCGTGTGCCCCTCGGACCACAACAGGGCATATCGAGCAGGTTATGGCAGATGCTTGAGGGCACGGCAGCTGTAGGCAAGATCCTGGTGTTCAAAGACAGTGGCAAGCTACTTGGGGTATTGCTGAATCATCGGACTGGGGATAAGGTAGGATTAGTTGCTGCATTGGAGCTGGAAGGGTGAAATTGCGGTCACATCAAGCTGACATTCAGTGAGTTGACGAGTTGGTCTGTCAACAAGACAAAGCCTAAAAGCTTTGTCTTCCTCACCTTCTTTTTAAATGCACACTTTTGTAGAGCATCGTTCATCCTCTACAGCACTACCGACTTCACCCGAATAGAGGGCCCGGTCATTATAGCTGTACTTGGGGCAATTTCCAGTCTAGATACAGCAATAATGACCGGGCATTATATTCGGGTGAAGACGGTAGGGCTGTGCATAACAGCACATTAGTCCATATACCTTTCTTTTCCCTTCGGGTTTTCACTCCATCCCACATAGCAGGGGCGTGGTAGCAAGAGAGAAACTCTGGCAGAGACTGTCAAATTGATGGTTGGGTGCGTTTCTTGACGTGGGTGTTTGACTCTGAGAGAGAGAGAGAGAGAGAGAGAGAGAGAGAGAGAGAGAGAGAGAGAGAGAGAGAGAGAGAGAGAGAGAGAGAGAGAGAGAGAGAGAG